GAGATCTCTATTCTTTATCCTATAGAAACACTTATGCTTGTAAAGTACGTGTATGTTATGCCATGTGTGTACAACAATGCTGACAAAAACTGTATATAAACTGTAATCATAAAAAGAGGAAAATTACATATGGTCATTAGCACTTTGCCTGACTTCGCAATTTGTTAAAAAAAACTCATCCATCTTGGTTTCTTTCAATGCTGATTTTCTGTCAATTTAATACAACACTGCTTGATATTAGCAATGTCATGTACAGTACAGCCTGTTCATTTATGCTGGATCTCATCAGGAATGTAGTCACAACATGGAAATACTCGATGACCTCACTAAATTTTGACACTACACTTGGACCAGTGGCAGTGTTCACTAGGTGAATCCTCCTCAATTGTATCAGACAGCTCTTTGTACAATTCTTCAATTGTACATATCCCAAATATAACAAGTGCATCATCAAACCCTACAAATTTCCAGAAACACCCAAATATTAACTATATGTTGAAAAAATGTGGATTTGGGATAGAAAATAATTCATTATTCTGAGTAACAAATCCACTAAAAGGAAGTAAAATTACATTGATATGGCATGACCTGAAAAAAAATCTGTTATTCCAAGAAATCTGTTGTCTTATGATCCATTAAAATGAGATTCTACTGTGTATATATTTATATATAAGTAAATTAAGTGTTGGAATAGGTACTGAAGCTTCTTTGTGAGTTACATGTTTTTTAACACAATTATGCTGGAAAAACTTCGTAAAGCCATATCATTTTTAATTCATTGGCAAAAATATAATAAATCACAGGACAACTTTCCCTGATTACTTTAAAGTTTTACCAAAGTTTATAAAATTTGAACATTCAAAAAAATACAGTACAGTTAAACAATTACTTTTTAATAAATCACCAAACAATCGCCTAAATATCGGGCTATATTTAGGCGATTGTTTGGTGATTTATTGTATACTACTCGGGCTTTGCGATGTTATTATTTTTTAATATTAAACTTGAAAAATCAAAATGTAATTATGGTTAACATCTCAGTTACAATTATAATTTTAAGTCATTTCAGTTTTAATCTATAATATAAACTTACTTTTACTGTATTTTTACTGAAAAACATTTTTACTTCTTCTCCCTGAAACTTTATACTGAATATTAAATATTCTCAGAAAATTTAACAAAATCTATTAGTAAAAATTAAACTGAAAAAGTTATAAAATATTATCTCGTACATAAGTTAAAATTCATTTCTGTATTCATTCAGTGTTTGAAAAAAATAAAAGATTTATCTTGTGAATATCAGAGATGGTTATATACAATCAAACCTGTCTATAATGAAACCCCAAGGGACTGAACAACTTTTCCATAGTAGACAGGTTACCTACTATAAGTATCCCTTGATTAATGTGATTAATAAACTTTCTTGATGTTACCACATATATCAAAATTGCATTAATCAAATACAGTGGTACCTCAGTACTCGACGAACAATCACCACCCACTACAACAGATTTTCGGTTAACAACAAATATTTTTATTTTAACTTTAATTTTTTTCATTCACCTGTAAAAAGTGTTCTCTAAGATAAAAATGAGTAACAAGTTTAAAAGTAAAATAAAACCTTACAGCTGCCTCCTTCGTCAGACGAAATTATACATAAGTGGAAAAAAAAAGTTGCATATCATCAGCATGTTTTACAACCATTTCATGTGGATGAAGTGTTTCGACAATACCTGTCTGTGACACACTAAGATTTGTTGCAAATTCTTGAGTTATTTGTCAATTTTTAACAATTCCTTCCTGCAATCTCTCTTCAACAGCTTTTGGGAGCCCAAACGTTTTGTATCTTTCAGTTCAAAATTTCCTAAAAGAAACTTTCGAAACCACATCTGACACATTCAAAGTTTAGAATCATCTTCCCCATATAAGGTACAAGTATTTTTTTACTGTTTGTATAGCATGATATCCTTTACGAAACTTAAAAAGCATGCATAATATACCCAATGTGCATTTTATCTGCAGAAATTTCAACTTTATTTTATTCAAACAAAACATGATGTAAAAAAGTTTAAAATAAGCTTCAAAACAAAAACTACAATCTCACATCAGGAATAATATGTTAAATTTCACAACTTCTAATTACATTGATATTTATGTTAAGTAAAAACAGTTGTTAATTAAAATATGCAAGAACATTCCATTTAAATCCCAATGAAATTACTGTAATATTAATCATATAAATCATTTTGCTATTCTGTATTGCATATGTATATTTTTAAGTTTTTTTTTTATGATTTATACATACTAGGCTTGTAAATTTCTTGTTCAATTAGATAAAGATACCTATTTTTCTGTTATATGGCCAGATTTTCCTTTCTGTTTCCGCATTACACAGGTTCCACTATATACAGATTAATTTATATTAATTTTTGCAAAAAATTCAAGGGAATGAAGAAATTTTCCATTAATGACAGATTTTCGCTATATTCAAGTTCTGTTATAGACAGATTTGACTGTATAATTATTTGATTAAATATATTCATTTATTGGGCTGCAATTTGAAAAAATTGTGGACCTATAAATTCCCACTGTCGTCCATCCGTCTATCTTTCCTTAATCTCAAGAACAGAGTTAGAGAGATAAAATCCGAGACTTGGAAGATATGGAAATTTAGCAGCAGGAGGCCCCGATTAACTATATATAAAGTTCCAATGCAAAGTGAAAGTCACATTATTTCATTACTTCAATTCAAACATTTTTTCCTGAAAGCAGTTAATCAATGACTTGCACGACTCTATTGTTAAAGGAAAAGTATGATGTAGAGTACAGGAACAAGACACTACATACTAATTTGAGGTGGAGAGCATATATTTTAAATTAAATTAATTAAAAATGTGATTAAAATTGCAGCCCGACACTGTCATGATGTCATAAATAATTGCTCATTAATAATTACTATATTATATACTTCTGAAATATGAAGATTTGAATGCATTAATAATAATTATTAATAACAAATTAAATAAAATGTCCTAATGCACAGTTTATCTAGAAAAAATGATATATGAAATTATTTATACCATAACTTATATATGATTTGACAATTAAGTTCAGAACTGAATCCATAGTAAGCATTTCAAAGTACATAAACCTAATTCTACTGTATATTTCCATCATAGTTACAGTATCCAATAGTTTTATTAGAAAAAAAACCACTTTTTCTATGAATTAATATCTCATTCTTTATATATAAAAAACAATTTTTCAGATTATTAATTTTCCAATTATAGTTTATTCTTGAATTTATAAATTAAATTTTCAACGTCAATTTGACTTTTAATAATGTCAAACATGATAAATATATTTAAATACTTATTGTTGAGCCGATTTTAAGAAACATTTCAAAAATGAATATTTCTTATGTTTCTGAAAGATGTTAGGCTAGATTCAAACAAGTAATCACTTGAATGAATTTATCATATTTCATATGAATCACAAACTGATTATGACTTCTTTAACCACACTCAAACCTTAATCAAGGTAAAGCTTTGAGAGTATACTTCATATTATAAAAGAAATAAAGCAATTCTTTTATCTGGCTTATAGTAGAGTTTAAAAGTATAACTATTTATATCACAAAACTGTTGACAACAGTAATGAGTTAGTATTCAGCTAATTTAGCTCACACAAGGTTTAAAAAATTATGAGATGGCTATAAAATGCAATCAAGGTAAATACCAAATGATTAATAAAGAGATTATTTACAAGAAAATTTGTTTTGCAAAATAAAAGTTTTGAATTTTTATTCTCTATTTAATTAAAAAAGAAGGATCTGAATTTTGGGGAAACAAGAAAAAGCTACTATGATACGCTTCTTGTCTAGTCTTCTGAATGGCTTGTGAGAGCTAAGATTGGCTTTACTTTACCTCTACTCTTATTACACCACCAGAGCTAGAAAAAGCAAGAAAAAGCTAATTCCAATGTTTTTCATATTTGATCCTTGATGCCTATAGAATTAATCATTTTTAGCAAAATCTTCTCTAGCTTTTTAATGTATCTTTTAGATCTATACTATCTGTATCTAAATATCTAAGTGGGGGGAATCTACTATACATCAAGAAACAAAATTATTTTTCAAACATATATTTTTATATTTGACACTTAAATCTAATGGGTAACACCTTTAAATAATGATAATAGTTTCAAATTCAACTCTCTCATAAAAGCTGAAATTTTTGGTTAACTTATACAAACACTTCATACAATTCCAGTATTAGTTAATAGATTATAGACAACACTGAAAATTTATTATGAATAATATTTAATTTGAGAATTTGATGCAAACATTCTTGAATATTCTTAACTTTTAGAAGCCATTAATTTATTCATATGCCACAACAAGTTTTTCAAAGCCATGTGCTGAACCTAAGCTACAGTCTGATAATGCTATTTTAGATTGTAAAGTACACTTTTGTTGACAAATGAATGTCTCATATTCTTCTCATTACAGAATCTTGTCCTGTAACAACAAAAAGGGGACTTCTGGAGGTGTTCTGTGATAAAACTTAATTGTTTCATCAGAGAATCCTTCAGAAGTCCCCTTTTTGTTCTTACAGGACCAGATTCTTTAATAAAAAAGCTACAAGACAGCCACAAGGCAGCCATTTTAGACACTTAACCTATTCTCTCATAAAATCAGATTTATATTATTTAAATTATGAAAATTTAATTCATAAATCTAGTAAATTCAAAAAATTATTAAAAAGACTATCACTAAGACTTATGTGAATAATCAAAAATTTACATAATTTNATAAAAATTGTACCATCCATAGAATGAATTTATGTATCTTTTCTTAAATTAAAGTTTCATTTTGCTACAGACCTGGAAGAAATCATGCATTACTCAACATTAAATGATATATCATATCTAAAATTAAATATTTAGTGTAACATAAATTTTATTTATTCTATTCTACAATATTAATAAAGTTTGCTCACCAATTTTGGTATGTTTGCAATGACAGGTTTACGATTATTTACTTTATTTTGGGAAGCCTGAACATTTGCTGTTTGCTGGAATAAAGATAAAAACAGTTTGAGGATAAAACATTTTAAATTACTTGAGGGCTACAAAAACTTTTAAAAAATGTATATTCCATTGCCCTGGAAAAGGTCATTGGATTTCTTTTCAGTACTGTACAATTATTTCACTGTTGAATAATGATCTTCATATGAATGACTCATTAGAATAAATTATATATTTTGTCACTTTTTCAAATAAAAATTCTAAATTTATGAATAAAAAAACATGGAACATATCCAAAATTTAATGCATTATTTTAAAAAAATATATTTGGATTTTTGAAAATTATTTATCTGCCTGGATTTTTGAGTTTAGTAACCATCTTAATAAAATGGTGTCATAAATAAGAATCAAATTATTATAATGGCATAGAGTAGCAATGTTTCTCTCTAAAAGAATGACAAAGTTTTTTTTAATTTCCATTCTTAATAAAGTTTAAAAAACGGCATTCTTCCTTTACTATAGATAAGTCTTATCATCATACATTAATTTTCTTTGATCAAATAGTCTTGAAAAAAAAAATTGATCCTTATGAAAATTCACTTAACTAAATTTTTGTTAAAATGAGATATGCAAATCATGCAATCAATAGTTTATTAACAGAATTAATTAACTGAACTAATTAAATAAATACAGGGTAAATGTATTTATTCATGTTCGTAAAACTGGTAACAAAATCATTTCTTTGCAGATCATATGACATGCTGACTCAAGAAGAGAAATAACTGTGTGCAAGTTTGAGTTGATTAATGTATGCAAAAGTACAGAAAAACTTTGCCCAAACATTCAGTAAGCCTGCTTTCTCCACGAACAATATCAGACTATTGGATAAATTTAGGAAAATGGGTAAAGTACACAATGTTCTGGGAGACCCACAATACTGAATAAAACATTCAACATAGATTGCAACAACACAAATTCCTACATCTTCAACCAAGAAGGCTATGAGCCAGGAGCTCAGTGTACCACTACTGACAGTATGAAAGATCCTCCTTTACAAACTCATAAAATGTGCACATTTTTGTCCAGGTGTTGCATAAGCTAGAGAACTATGTCAATCAGTCTAGAGAACCAGCCAAGAAAAGTGTCAGGATCTCTTCAAGTATATGGAAAAAACATTTAATGGTACTTCTACATACATTAATTCACTTGAATATACACAAATTACAGTGATTCTGTCTTCTTAGTTCACCATGTTTCACATGACTTGAAAACAAATGTTTTTGTTAGTATTTTTACAATACTAGATTGAAACTTTACAATCACCCTGTATAAATTTTATGAGTACAAATCTAAACATATTACACATGTGACAATTCATTGCAAAATAGATGAAAACAAGTTGAGAAATTTAGTCTGAAACCATTGTTTTAACTATCAAACAGAAATGACAGGAGGAAAAAAATTAAAAAATTTGCTTTCTATTACAATAAAATTATGTTATATTAAAAGAATTAGAAAAATTTATGTACTTTAAGCGAGACTGTAATCATCCTTTTTTTTAATTATTTTTATATTTTCAATCTGAATAACAAAAAATATTACATTCAACTCTTTTAAAATTTTCTTTTAAATTTATAAATCTCTATAAATAATATTTACAGAAAATCACTACATAAAAATACTCAAACCAAATAAACTTTTTACATTACAAGAATATAATTATTACTAAATAATAATATTAATATAAACAAAACAATGTTGCTTACATTATTACATATAATATACATTATGATTATAACCACTGTATAAGCTGTTTCTCAACCATTACAGTTATTTTCATTTACATTAAAATTAAGACACATGCATTGCTTTGAAGTTTGCTGAAAGAATTTAAATATTTTAGTAAATTGAAGTGTTTGAAACTAAATATTTTCAAGCAACTAGTACCTTTTGTAAGCAAAAATGAAATCACTATTTGTTTAAAACATTAAAAATAGAATGTAAAAACTCTAAGGACACTAAACTTTAATTATAAATTTATAGTTATATAAAAGAAAGAAAGAAATTTAAACACGACAGCTACAAAAATATACTTTCTAATTAATCTTATAATAATAATTACAATTAATTTTTAACTTCTCTTTTCAATAAATAAGTGGCAGAAGTATAAAAAAAAATTCTGTGTTATCAGCTGCCATCTTGTTTTCAGAATGTTTGCTCTCTTTTGATTTATGATTGCACATTTCGTTGTTCTTGTTTTACAAAAAACAACAAAAATCAAAAATCCTATCAAAAATAATTTTTTTTGCATATAGCTTTCACTTTTGTAAGCTAACGTCTACAGCAAATAAAAGCTGAGCTACTGAATCTCAAATTTGTTTCAACGGGTATTATTCATATTAGAATTGTGTTCTACTTAATTTTTATGAGTTCATTTTCACATTTATTATTATTATTATTTCACAAGTAAAACAGAAATGCAGCAATAGGAAACAAAAGTCTTTTTATCTTTGACACAAAGTTTAAAAAATATTCTGCTTTTATGTTTCGTTTATAACATAATTATATTTACAATAAAGTGGTACATAAAAATACTGTTGTTTTAATGTTTGAGATGAAATTTTCTAAACTGTATATCAATGAGTATAATGATTTCAATGGCTTATTCATTGTATCAAGTACACAGTTAAGTGAGTTATACAAAGTTTTATTTCCATTCTGACAATTTTTTACAGAGTATTCGCATTGTCAGATATATCTGCTTGAAATTACAGTTCTCATGATACTCACCAAAATCAGTCTATATTTCTCTATGTTATCATTTTGAAATGTAAAATAAATCATACAACAATTTGTTTTATTAGTATATAAATATGGTCATTGTTTTTCTGTATGTTATATCAAAATAAATACTTAAGCATTATCTGAAAATTAATTAAATATTTGGTCATTTTTATTCGAATGATATAATTGTTCAGATCTGCTTTTATAAATGATTACTTTATTCTATTCTTTGAAACTCTATTCATTTCAAATTTTAAAAAAAATATAAAACATTTCTTTGATAAATATTACTCTATTAACCAAGTCATAAAAGAACACAATAAAAGTAAGTGCAGAACAAAACTATGTTTATTCAGAAATATAATAGCAGCTATAAAAATTGTACCATCCATAGAATGAATTTATGTATCTTTTCTTAAATTAAAGTTTCATTTTGCTACAGACCTGCAAGAAATCATAAAGATGAGAATGGTTTCAATTGTCTGCTATTTCAACTCTAATGCAGCAATGTCTCTGATGTTTGTGTCATCTGTTGGTATAAAAACAAATGTGAAGATGCAACACTTCTGTAAGCAAATGGAAAGTTTCAATAATTAACATCATGTAAAAAGACTGTAATTGTTGCCTTGAATAATGAAGGTTTTTCCTAATGTGAAATAGCATGGAAAGCACATTGTCATCATTCAATATTTGTGTGTTTGTTTCAAAACAAATGTGAATAGATAATATTGGGGAAAAAAGGGCTGGATCGGGAAGTAAATATGCAAGTACACCATGACAGCCAGGATAGGATGCATAAGCATCCTAGCCTGCAAGAGTGTACTGCTAGTTCTTCTGAACTGAAAATACAATGGTAAGAAAAGACATAAAAAAGCAAGTGCATGAACTGTGTGATAATGTCTGTGCAACATGGATTTAAAAGCCTACATAATAAACTATTACTGAAAAATAAAATGCACAGACAGCAACTTATCTGGGCTAAACAGCATTGATATGTGGGATTCTGATGATTAAAATTTGGATTTATTTGAACCTAATTTCTAAGTTTTTATAAATCCAAATTTAATCTGTAAAAATCTGACTGCAGACTCATGTTAAATATAGAAAAAATGAAGCCTGTAACAGATATTGCTTGTTGCAGAAAGCAAAGTCTCAGATGAGTCGAATGATGTGGGAGATGTATATCCAGTAAAACTGTCATTTACAGCTCCATTTATGAAGTGTAATGTGCTATAAAAACATTGCATCTATCAAGCTAATTCCAACAACCAGAGAACAATTTTGTGACACAAAATCCTGCACCTTCCAAGATGACTCTGCACCACAAAGATTGTGAGTAAAGTATAACATGTCCTTTCTCTGTAGTTTATTAGCATACTCTTAGCAGTTTGACAATCATTTGTTGTTCAAGTAAACAAAAATTCTTAATTAGATGCCAAACCTGGCCAGATAGCAGTCCTAATAGCAAACATATTGAAAACTGTATGTTCTTTGAAACTTAGCATAAAATAGATATTGAGAGCAAATCATACAGGAACATGCCTCATGATGGAAAAAGTAGATTTTAATTTAATTTTCTATAATTTACAATGGATATGCATTTCAGACTTTATGCCCCTCTTCAGTCCTTATTTTATTATTTATAACAATAAAACTATATATGAAATTACAGAATGTATTTAATAATTATTTATATTTAACACATTCGTAGTTCACAAAAATTTCAAAAAGAATTAGCTAAAAGTATAATTATAGTGATTTCTGGAATAAATAATTATTAAAAACAGAGTAGAATAAGTAAAACTGAAATTTAAAAAGTAAGTAAATAAATAAATATGATAAAATTATGATAAAAAATAATAAGAGGGGTATAACTGTAAAAATGAAAATATTTTGGTTAAAACATAGAAAAAAAATCAACTAATAAAGGTAGTAAAAACATAAAATCTTTAAAACCAATAAATTGTTAAAAACAAGGTGTAAAGGCTTTCACTGTATGTTTATCAGGTAACGTGATACATTATATAGTAGTAAGTGAATTAAAGAGAGGACATCTTAAAATGATTTTTCTCTTCTTATTTTGGTAGTAACAGTTGCCTGATCTCACTGATGACAATACCAGTGTTTAAATTCATTCTACTAATTTCATTTATTTTAATATTAATAATTTCAATATGTTCAAAAAATTTTCTTTTAATAATATTTTTTCTTTTTCTTTTTTAAGAATTTTGATGCTGTCAAGTGAAATCTCAAAACCAGCATG